GCGGGAAGCCTCTTCAGGGTGTAGTTGCATTGGTTCCCATACTCTGTTTCCCACATCATTTCTTGCATAGCATGGAAGAACACAAGCGACTGTGTCCGTAGCGTCTGCTCCTCAAACATGTCGACCTTCAGGGGTGGGATGCCTTCGGGCCACTCCGTCCTCGCCTTGCCGACCAACTTGAGCGTCACCGACTTGATCTTGACATTCTTTGACACATTCAGCTGCAACTTCCCGCGCAAGAGTGCACTGGGTGTTGGCCCTCCGCCTTGTCGTGTATTCTGGTCATGGTCAAGCCCGGAGAGAAAGACGTTCGGCTCTGCCAAGATAATGGAGCACGTCAACCCGCTCCCTGAGGCGACAGGCTTGGGCACCTCCGTCACCGAAGAGCTAACCATGTGCTTCGCCGACCGTAACGACATCATGCTATTTCTGTTGGCGGAACTGCTAGACCTGGTGACCAGGGGGCGCGGGGCGGCCGCGGTAGCCATGTTGGGTTGCTGTTCAGATTGCTGTTCAAGGGGGTGTTGGGGCACTTCAAGCCGCACCTCGTCTTGGTGTTCGGGGGGCTGTTCGGGCAACTGCTCGATGCGCTCCTCTGGGCGACGTTCGGGCGGCTGGGCCAGCGGCTGAGTAACGGGTCGGGGGATCGGGGCTTCGACGGTAGCCTCTGTTGGTTCTTCAACAACAGTCGGCTCAGTCGGTTCAACACGCGATAGGCGACGGGAAAATCCAGCAAAGCTGGAGGGTCGGGGTCGAGACCGCGCTTTCGGTGGCGCAGGAGCAACGGGTGCGGGTGATGAACCTTTGCTTGTGATGGAGAAAACGGCCAGTATCTTCCCAAGCACTCTGCTCACTCGGTCTCTGCCCGGGGGGAGCGATCGAATAGACCTCCTCTTTTCACTCTTCTCACGCTTGGCCTTCTCCTCGGCCTTCCTCTGTCGCTTTTCCTCCTTGCTCTCCTTCCTCCCGTTCTTCTTGTCTTTCTTACTCTGCTCTTGAGTCTTGTCTGCGGGTGCTGTCCTCGGCGATCGCGGGCTGGGGCGCAAGTCGTGTGGTACGAAGCCAGCAGGGTACGAGACGATATGGATGGAGTGGGGCCGCCGTTGGCGGGGTTGGATCAGCGGCGCCGGGAAGGATGGTGAGTCGGGGGGACTAGCGCGCTGATCGGTAGGAGTTCTCGGTGTGTAATACACAGATCCGTGTATAGACTCGTAGTATGGTTGTGGGCGAAGGCGATCGTGTTCGGAACCTGCGGGGGGCATTGCGCTCCGGTTAGACAACACGATCGGACGATGCGAAGGCACTATGAGGACGGCGGTCCCGCAGCGAGCTAGCGGCACACCAAGAGAAGGACGAAGCTACTGGCCGCATCGAGGCTAGGAAAAGAGAGGGAAGCAAAAACATAGAACTGCAGGCAACGAGGTGGGAGAACACACAGCAGCCAGGCATAAAAGGAATGGCATCAGGCGCATCGAACAGCCCCGTCGCAATGGTGAAGGCCGACAGGGGCTGTAGCGTCGGGCCGGAGACCAAGTTCTGCTGGCGGGAAATGAGGTCCAGAGCGCCGATGGGCGCAGTTGAGGGTACCCATGAGTGCGGGCGCCTTCCGTGTGGAGCGGGGAGTCGATGGTTGAGGTATGCCATGGTGGGCAGGCATGGTGGAGGAGCCCGCCTCGAAAACCGTCAGTGGTCACTTGCCCCACCGCGAGCCTTGCGGATGCCCGTCAGGTCCGAGTCGGGAGCACGGCGACGACGGAGGCGGCTTCGGTGGGGGTGGGCAGGCAAACAAATAGCACATGGGGCATCTGACTTCGTCGAGGTGGAGGAGGGCGGTCAGGAAGGTGAGGTGAAGTGGAGGCAGGCAGGTAGGCAGCGCCGCTGGTTGGGGTCGGGTCTCAGGTCTCGGGAAGGAACAACAGCAGAAGAGAGAAGGGACGGACGAAGGACCAAAGCCAAGGGATAATACAGCACGGAAAAGAGCACGTACCTGCTGCACCTGAATCATAGCACCTTCATTATTATCCGTTTGTGTGATATACGTGGTCCAGGTGTGTGTATCCAGCAATGGTCCGTCGGGGAGTCGGGGTTGTACAGGCAGTTTCGAGGATAAGCTCCAATTTTCGATGCTCGATGCTTAATCCCCCTTGCAAGCAGATCGGGAATTCCTATTGCGGTCCGTCGCCCGGTATTTCAGGACAAAACCTGGGAACTGGAGATTCGACGACAGGTGAGCGCTGACAGCGATACGCTAGCTAGCAACAAGAAGCCGCACAGTGCCGCGTGCCCTGCCGGCGAGGGCGACAGGCTTGGCGGGCGACGGGGTCAGCAGAGTGGGCAGGCGGCGCTGAGTGTGCACAGCGGGTTGCCGTCGCTCGAGCAGGCAAAGCTGCGAGCTGCGAGCTGCGAGCGCGAAGCGGGACGATGCCCAGGCCCCGTCCGTTGGTTTCTCACACTTGGTACGTGCACGCGTGCGGCGAAGGGGGGCGAAGGGACCAACCGGCTGGCCCGCGATTCCTTGGGTTGAGACTGTCTCAAATGGTCACAATGGTCACAGGGTCGAGCACACGCCACGGGATGCCGCAGCGGCCAGCGGCAGGAACTGGCGGATCGAGAACGGAGCTTGGGGAAGGTGTTAGGTGTTTGGAGCTTGGCGGGTTGGCGGGGCGCGGGCACAGAGGCGGGCGAGCCAGAGCAAGAAGCGGTCGGGGTGCAGCGCAGCGGGGCAGGTTGAGTGTTGTGTCGTGTCGTGTGTCCAGCTGTGTCCGGTTGTGTTCGCGTTGTGTTCGGTCGTGCGAGCGATATGGCGCGACAATAATACTCAGCATAATGCGCAATATTGCGTGAAGAGGAAAAGCCTGAGTCGACAGCGAGGTTGGACCTTGAAATCTCCATGATCGGCATCCCGCGTGGTATGATGTATTTGCGACGCCTTGATCCCTGTGCACAATATCAAGCGGGGCCGCAAGTGCTAGGACAGCCAAGAACTCGAGAGGTGGGGTAGCTGAAGACCTGGCCCTGCCCTGATCACCGAGCCCCCGTAGCAAACCCTAGCAGCACGAAAGACATGCCGTTTTACTTTCTGCTTAGCTACCTTATTACGTGTGCATTTATCGCCTCGCAATCTTCAGCTTGGGCGCGTGGGTGCTCGAAAAGTAGCAGCAAGACGCCTGAGGTTGCTGTTGTTGGCTGAGAGGCTGTCAAGATTCTCGCTTCGAAGCGAGCCTGCGCAATGACGCTTGACATCCACCTTCTGCCAAGCATTTGCACTTCGAATCAGGGCATCACCGCAACTCTAACGTGGACGGCGACGAACAACGGGCGATGAAAACGGCGGTGGCTTCTTTGGCGGCACTCCAAATGCGAGAACAGCGCATCGCGTGCATGTGGGCAACAGGTTTGACTGATTCGGCAGAGCGCTTACTTTGCAGCGACTCCAGACCAAGCAAAGTCCTGATCTCCGTTGCGTTTCAACCCGCTTCCTTCGTTGCCGTTTTCGTTGTTCTGAGGCGCTCCGCGGCATCTGTCCCACCTACTCTTCAGGCAAAGCAGAGCGTGCCTCGGCGACTGCTTACCTCCGGTGTCGCGCCCGATGGCTGTGCGGTGTTGGAGGCCATGGCATCGTTCAATCGATCCATGGGTCTCGGCAATCTCGGCAGCAGCAACAAGCGAGCGCCACCGATATCATACGTCATCCGACGACGTCTGGGCTCTACCGCTGGCTTTTTGCAGCCCGCGACACCTGGAAAGTCAATGATTTACTGGTCGTGTAACAGACGGTTCATGGAATGCGTGCTTGAGTGTCGAGCCGGACAATTTCTTCAATCAAGTCGCAATCAGGCGTCGGTGGAATGCTTTCTGGAAAAGCGTATTCATGCAGAGAATTACAGGCTCCGGGGATAGAACGGGGCAGAGTGGAGGCTCAGGGGCTCCCGAGCTGCTGGGGAGCTAGCTGATCTCGCTTCCCCCGCTCCTCAACGGCCGCCCTGTCCGGTGCCTTGGCGATCATCCGTCGCAGATCGCAGCCGGTCCGCTACGCTCCGGCACCTTCGGCCTCGTCGACGGTCGAGCGTGCTGACAGTGCGGTGATGCCGTGGCATGACTGAAATGACTCAGCGATAGCAACGAGCACCAAGCAGCGTGCGGTGTTGCGTGCACGGTTCTCAGCGCCGGAGCTCAACCTCTCATGGCCGCAACGGAATCGATGAACCAGTTGAACCAGTTACAACCTCGAACCAGCAAACGCCGTTCTGATGCACAGCCCCGGGGCGCGCCATCTGATGGAGCTCAGTCGGGTAGTAGTTCGGACAGAGATAAAGTAAGTCCCACCACATCTTGAGCGTATTAAGCTTCGCGGATGTATAACCAAGTCGTCGGAACCACTCATAAAAATTAGCGAGTGGGCTGACGCGGCCGAACCCAGCCTATGGGACTTCCCGTAGACTTTCTCCTCGTTTCCATTTTGCCGAGTTGACGGACAGCTCCTGTGCGATACGTTGTACGCCCGATGCAGCATCCCGACTCGCTGGGTCTTTGTGGCTCGCTTGAAACCAAGAAAGGATCGGTCGCGTATTTACCCGGCTGCCACCCAACGTGCCCTGATTCAGCCGTGATGCGTAGTCACTTGACAACGTGTCAAGCTCCGCGGAATCTAGAGCTGCGATCGCTAGGGAGTAGTCATCGATTAGTCAACGCTCGTTTCTCCGGGTAACTGACGACTGTCTTGGCCGTTTGTCGCAGGCTCAACGGCCGCCTTGAGACACGCCAGGGGACCATTGCGAATTGCTTGGACACTGCCGGAACTTCGCAGAGATATCTCGCACCTTTGTCAATAGATGCCTATGAATCCCGATCATGATGCACCCGTCTATTCCATTGTTCTGTGCAAGAACATACACATGCGGTCAGGTGTCGAGCCCCAAGTGGAAACTCTAATTCATGCATACAGAATCTGCCAATATGGTTTGATTTTACGGCGCGTCTTTCTCAACAACAGGGCATATGCCCAGCTAGCTCAATCGGTAGAGCGTGAGACTCTTATGAGAAAGAATCTCCGTATCACCTCGATATATATCGAGGTTGTGGGTTCGACCCCCAGGTCGGGCTCAATTCCCGTCCTTTCTTGTTTTGCATCTGTCAGGTAGAGCGTTGCCCCTTGCCGCACCTTACAACAGCCCCCAGGAGAGGGGCCTTTCTTTGGCAAAGGATCAGGGGCTGTCTCGTAGAGCTGAGAAGCCACTCTGCACGAATGTTGGAAGGTCAGTAGCGTTTTTGTTTTCTTGCAAACGGTGGGGCACTCTAGCTTAATAACTCAGAGTGTAGCCTCAGTCCTCCATTCTCTCGGACCATCCTCTGAGGTGAGGTAAACACACTGGAAGGTAACTATGCAAAAAGACGCCCGGGCTGGTTTTCGAACCCAGCTCCTTGTCCTTGTAAACACACACTCCCCCAACTTGGCCAGACAGCCCCTTGTGGATCACCAGACACTAAGCCGTTCCCCTCGCCGGTGTCCGCTGGGGCCTGTTTGGGAGACGAAGAAAAAAAAGAAAAGCGAAGTTGTTTTTTTCTACACTGCACCTTTTCCCATATCCAACCTCACACCCGTACAGGGAAGGGTGTAGAACATCATTAATGTATGCTCAGCTACTTCGCTGAAAACGAGGTCAGGTAATTTAGATGATGAGGTAGAGGGAGGCAGCGTGTGGCTGGGGGCCTGAGGCACGTATCCGTGTGGGGCTGCTGCTCTGGACTGGGTTTGCCGTATTTTCATCTGCGGGTTGCCGGTTTGCTTCCTTTGTTTGTGTTAAGGGTTCAGGGTTCAAAATGGACATAGGATCTTGGGGCTCATGGTTTCAGTGACACGCAGGCTGGATTTACTAGAACAGGTATGTTGAACTATTTAACGGGACTGTGTACTAATCAGCCTATTCTATGGTATTTAGGGTTTTCAAGAGGACTTAAGACTTTAAAGTAGGTACTAGGTAAGGTGCTTGATGGCATGGCTGATGGAGAGGCGTGAGTTACCGTAGGCTAACACTTTCGTCCAATGACGCACGCAGCACTTCCTTTCCCTCTCAGCATTAAATACTAAATTTTATACGCTGGAAAGAAAACATATGAGCATCGTATCTCCAGTTCCTATACCCCAGCCTATCTAAGCAGTTTTGGCTCTCATGATAACGGAGCTGATTTTCGCTTCTGGGAAGTTAGGTATTAAGTGACTTAGGTTATGCTGCCGCAAGCCGCCTTTGTTCCTCTCGAATTTCCACATCTATCTTGCAGCGTTGCACAGTTCGTATTGGAACGGATCTAGCCGTATTTTAAAAGGAGAATGTCTAGGTATAAACACCGTACGATACGTCTTATCTGCACCATATCCCTGCGCATAAACCCTAACCAAAAACCCCTCAGCCCCAAATCCCAAGCTCGCTTCTAAACTAGGTAACAAGAGGTATTTACTAGCCCAGATGCCTCTCTAGCTAGTCCGGACAGCTTCCTTTACTTCAAAAGAGGCCTTAGGGCTTCGTGGTAATGGTGGTGGTAAGGTTTGTCGAGGGCAATGGTAATTTATGTGCACGTAGGGTGCAAACAGACAAAAGCAATGATGCTAATAGACATTCTCTTTACAAGTCTTTATCATTGTACTCGCTTTGGGGACCTTTCTAGCCAGCAACAACAATCCACCGACTCCGCTGGGTAGCACTTAATTTCATGGAGATGCAGAAACCTGATGTACGCACTTTTGACCAACCCAGAGCACGCACGAGTCTTCTCATGGGTTTCCGTGTGTCTCAACAGCGGTATCTGAAGATCACTATGGCCTTGCACAGCTCGGACTCCCCAAGTCGAACTGGGCAAAGAGCCTGAGAGTCAACCCAACTCCTACCGCAAGCATTCATGGCACAAAATAGACACATGGGGATGCACTACGTTGCATCTCGAGAGAACCCCGCGCAAGAAGGACCGAACGCCGCCATAGTCACAATGGTAGGACGAGAGATGGTGACGACCAGCATCGGACCGATGTGTGCCAAATGCCAGGCTCAACGTGAAGCTCCTCGCCCAGATTGCTATCGCCAAATGTCCTCCTGTTAAACCACTCACCGCCTTGCGCCACTTTTGGGTTTCTCGCCGCTGTGGCAGATACCAAACGGACGGCTTTGGGACCTCGTCCCGCGGAGTCAAGCGGCCATAGGATGTACGATCTCAACACGTTTTGATCAGGAGTTGAAACCTATCGCTCGCCCTTCGGTCATATGACTGCCAACTCTGTCCGGGTGCCGTCCTAGATGATCTATTGAGGGGTGCCGACGACAAGGAGCGCGTTGTATAACTTGTCTTACGAGGCTTTCCAATGAGTAGGATGTTGCTGTTGCAGTATGGTAACGCCCATGGAGACTTTCCAGGTTCCCGAAACCTGGAGGGGGAGAAGGCCAGGTGTGGGAACTCCTGGCACATTTCCACCAGGGGCGAATACCCACCCTCAGTTGGACGTCGGAATCATCTTTACCCAATCGACCGCGGCAGCGTGTATGTGCTGAACAGAGGCTCGAGAACTCGAAGAAAAACAGGCTACCTCATAGAAGATACAATGTCGGGACGAGAGTTGTTGGCTTCAGCATGGACGGGCAATTGTGAGATTCGGGAATGCAGCAGCCTAGGTGGATTGAGTGAGCTCGACGCTCTGGCACCAGACGCCATTCATCGCGGGCACCTGACTGTCGCTTGACGCCTCGATGGTCCTTGGTTCGGTGCTCTAGGACCCAAGTAGGGAGGATTGCGACGTTGCAAAGGGTCGGTGGGGATGATGGAGTTGGTACCGTAGCAGCGGACATCGGTGGTTTTGTGGGGGATTCGCATGGCGGGTTATTTTGACCCTCGAGCTGCGGGGCGGTTTGTTGGCTTCCAGCTAGGGCATCGTGAGGGGCGACATTGCCCTGAGTTGGGGAAGGGAATGGGGCACTCACTTCTTCCAGCGCGTAGATGTGCACAGTCTCGCGTCCAGATCCCGTCGTCGACAGCCTGAGGTTTGTGGTCCCAGTTCAGTTTCCGTCAGCGGCTTGAGGTGCTAAACCGAAACCTGCAAAGGGGCTTGCAGCTTTAGCGGGGCTTACCGAACCAATGGACATCACCAGCGACCGATCAGGCTAATTACGCGAGACGGTTTTGATGCGATGCCAGCTCGAGTGCCCCACTTCCAGCTTTTTCCATGGCAACCAAGTCAGGATCCTCCCTGAGCCTCTTCCCGCAAGCCACCAGCCAGCAACCAGTTGGACGCCGACCTGGCCCGTACGTTCGTTGACAATTGCATCCCACTTTCGTTTCTGCCATTCACGCTTCTTTCGTACTCGTTCGCTTTGTCGCTTTCTGGTTTCCCACCGCCAGAAGCCGGAGAGCGCTTTTCGCTCCAGACGGTCGCTGCCACGGTCGCCGTCGATACGAGACATTCTGGCCTCGGCGCATTCCACCTCGTATTCAGCTAACCGACGACCGCCGTCTTCGACGACAACGCATCGAACAATAACAACCACCGATCGATCGAATATCTGCTTCCTCACGCCCTTCTGCTCTCTTCGCCGGGCCCAGTCGTCGTCGCGGGTTTGATCCGAAATAATATTGCCATCTCCGGCTGAACCTTGGTAAACGATTGCCTAGGTCTCCCTTCCTCTACCATGACGTTCGGCGACTTCACCGATATATGCCGTATGGCGCCGCTGCCATTATGCGCGTCGATAGGCCCGATAAATTCGATCGCGCAAGGCGTCGCGGGGATCGACCCCGACTGCTACGCCCGTAACATCGAACTCGCAAACACCATCATCTTCCAGGGCGCTGCTGCCGCCATGCACATCGTCGCCCTCGTCATGACCGTTACCATGATTCTGCACGTCCGGGGGAAGTTCACAGCTGTTGGTATGTAATATCTGAGTGGGATGAGACCCCCCTGTAAGGCTAGTGGGGGACTTCACTGACGCGTTTCACGAACAGGCCGCAAAGAAGTCACAGCCTTTTTCTACCTCTACATGCTCCTCACCTTCCTGTCTCTTTGCATGGACGCAGGGGTCGTGCCACCACGCTCGGAACCATACCCGTACTTCGCGGCCATACAAAACGGCATGTCCTCGGCGCTGGTCACCTGCCTCCTAATCAACGGCTTCGTGGGCTTCCAGCTGTACGAAGACGGCACTCCCCTTTCTCTCTGGATGATGCGGTTGTGCTCTGCTGCTGCCTTCATCATCTCGTTCCTCGTCTCTCTCGCGACCTTCAAGTCGTGGGCTGGCTTGGGCCCAACCAACACCGTGGGGCTGTTTGTGGTGCTTTACTTGCTGAACGCTGTCCAGCTGTTCGTGTACGTCTCGCTGCAGATTCTTCTCGTCACTCGCACACTCCAGGACCGATGGCCCCTCGGTGATATTGCGTTCGGCTGCGTTTTCTTCATCATCGGTCAGATCATCCTTTACGCCTTTAGCACGCCCATCTGCAACGCTGTCAGCCACTACATGGACGGGCTCTTCTTCGCCACAACGTGCAACCTCCTCGCCGTCATGATGGTCTACAAGTACTGGGACTCGATCACTAAGGAAGACCTGGAGTTCTCGGTCGGCCAGCGCATGAACAACTGGGAGGTCAAGGAACTACTCCCTGAAGAGGATCGTCGAACCACCGTGTACAATGACGACCCTTACGGCCAGTCCAGCGCCTACGATCACTCTTTCTCGCCAAGCCCAAATCGTGGCTCTCGATACTAGTAGTAATTTCTAGACGAGGCAACAGCGCCAGAGCATGGTTCGAGGGTTTAGCATGGTCGGAAGGGAAAAATCTGGGTTGGCTACAGCGCTGTTGGCGGGTTGGCGCATGTTGACGGAATGCACGAGATGACCATGTCTTCATTCATCAGCATCAGCGTATTGGCTTTTTCTTTCCCGGCGTTACAGTGGGGGTACAGCGAGACGGAAGCGGATTCTTCACCCTGTCGATATTCTGCCTGTGGCTGAGGATGGACACATGATGAGAGACACGGTTGAGCGACCTGGGATGGCTCAATTCTTTTTGGTAATACTGGTTTTTGGGGTATTTTAGAGACATAGCCATGCGCAGCCACTAGT